ACTTTATTCTCGTAATGTTACAACTTTATTCTCGTAATGTAACGTTATTCTCGCAATGTTACGACTTTATTCTCGTAATGTTACGACTTTATTCTCGTAATGTTACGACTTTATTCTCGTAATGTTACAACTTTATTCTCGTAATATTACGACTTTTTTCTCGTAATAAAAAAAACATTCAACAGAACTAAATTAAACTTCTCTCCGCTCTTAGACTGGAACAAAGGACGGAGCAGCTGTAGCTGAACTGACCAGGTGATGTCTGAAGGTCTTCTCGTACTTCATGTATTTGAGGCAGTACTCGCAGATCCACAGCTTGGGCTGTTTGCCGTAGTCCTCGGGGAACGGCGAGAAGTACCAGGCGTCGATCTCAAAGTTTCCGATCTGGATCTTGTCCACGTATTTAACTTTGGTGATCTGAGGGAGAGACGGGGCGAGAGGCGATACGATGAATGTGGAGGACAGAGCAGTGAGGGATCTGAACCTGAAGAGAGTCCACTTACCGCCTCGTGCTCCTTCTCCAACGCCGCCGTCGTTGGGTCCATCTCTGCGTACGTCTGCGGAGGAAAACTCCTTTAGATAACCGTCCAGAACACAGAGCGCCACCACAAACGGCGTGAAACACACTCACCTTCTGCACGTGGTTGATCTCGTCGTGTTTGCGCTTCTGGTTTCGAGTGATCTTCCTTTCGGGCTGCTCGCCCAGATCCCCGACGCCCCCGATCTCCGTGCTCTTCCTCACCGCATCCTTCACCGTCTTGGTGAGCGCCAGCCGGGCCTTTCCCACCCACTCATCTAGGCGCCGGTTGACTGCACGCCACAAACAAAAAGAGGAAGGAGATGGAGATCACAGTAAAGCAGCAGGTGAGAGGGACAGATGTGTGAATATCTGAGCATGTCAACATCTGGTGGTGAACTCACAGCCGACGTAGTGCACGTAGAACTCCTCTCTGCCCTCCTGCTCGTTCAGTCGGGACTGAATAACCTCCGCTGTATCTGAAAGGGGGACGGGGTCCATTAGGTCCAACACGGAGGCCATTATTTTCAAAATAAAGCTCCATCTGACTGGAATAATCTCCCACTTTCTGTTGTTTCGTCTTTATTTTCTCATCTGAAATCAACTTGTTTATGTTTTTAATTTTTGTTACATTAATAATCTTCAGTACTTTTGATTCGTTGCTGTTTCTGAGGTGAGCAAGATGTGTGTACCTGTGTATTTGCAGTGAATGTCTGTTATGTAATGCTGCAGTTCAAACTGAAGCTCAGCATCATCTCCTGCTCTCCTCACCGAACTCCATTCAGATTTCTACCACTTTAAATCCTCCTTCCTCAGGAGCAAACATACTTACTGTATTTCACCCTGAGAAAACGTGTCTTGAAATGAACTCAACTATTATTCAATTCGGCGATCACATAATCCTCCAAACTGCAACGCTGGACGATTCACTGCAGTGAAATATCAACTTTTACAGCAGCCTGGCCTGTTTGTTTATACTGTTATAGTTTAATCATCTACGCCGAATCTCGCACAAAGCCCCAATGACCATCGCTAAAACAAACGCCGTCTTCAACACGCACGGATTTAAAAGAATCGATAAAAAACGTAAAATACTGAATGGAGTTTGGTGAGGATGAGTCCAAACAGCAGAGCAGCTGACTGAAACACGGGGAACAGAGTCACTCACGCCATGTCTTATCGGCTCTTTGACACAAATACGTCTCTCCAATTTCCACCGACACCTCCTGCTCCCTGCCGCCGCAAAACACGCCTCCGTCCGGCGTGTGGTGACTACTACAGCCCCCGGCTTCCCTCGACCGTCCGACGGCCTCCGCCTCGTCCTCCTCCCCGCCGCTGCCGTTAGAGGAGCACGCCGCCGGGACACTACCGTCCAGCTCCCCCCGCTCACTCTCCATAGGACCGGAGTCCATGTCCACGTCCATCCTGGGATCAGAGTCCTTGCTGTTGCTGTAGTTCTTGTGAAACTCGCTCCCGCCAGTCATCACCTCGGCCGTTTTGAAAACAACAACACGCCTCTGCGACCCTGCGCAGATAAACAGGGGCAGGTCTCCTAACAGAGGGTAAAACAGCCAAGATGGCGCCGGTGGAACGAAGCGTAGGTTCCGCCTCTCTTCCTCCCGGCATGCGCATGCGTCAACGTTCAACAACTACAGCTCCCAGAAGGCATAGCGGTTTTTATCTGCATTCAGTAGGGTTAGGGTTAGGGGTTATATGCTAGGGTTAGGGTTAGTGTTATATTTTAGGGTTAGGTTATATTTTAGGGTTAGGGTTATATTTTAGGGTTAGGGTTATATGTTAGGGGTTAAGATGAAAAAAATAGCTGTTTTTTTTCACACTTTATGCACATTGTGAATGTGTAGGTTAAAAATAAAACAAATTCTAAAACACATATTTATTAATATAATTACGGAGCCCCCCTGGTGACATTGGATTAAAAAAAAAAAATAGCGCGTGGACACACATTACTATCTTGTGGCAGATAATAATGCGTGGGTACGAGATAATTATTGAAGTCATTTCCATGCAGAGACTGTTGA